TCTGGAGCATAATAGATATGAGTGTAAATTCCCCAGCACTCTAATGTGAAGCCACGGTTGAGATCCACTCGGAGGAGGAGGCAAGCCCAGCGCAGCCCTGCTGTCTAGCTCTGCTCTCCCCCGGGGCCTTGGATCATCAGTACTGAGACAGTGGAAGGTGAAGAATACAAAAAGAAGCATGCAGAACAGCCAACATGGACCAGAGGTGGGGGTGAGGGTGTGGCTGGAGTGCTCATCGGGAGGTGGGTCACAGAAGCCCCCACTGAGAGGTGATATCAGAACAGACACGGGGAAGGAGGCGTGTCTGCACCTGCAGCTGAGGGGCCAGCGAGTTCCAGCAGAGACACAGCCCACGTGAAGGCCTTGAGGCAGGTGCAACCTCGGCCCCAGGAACAGGCAAGAGGCCTGCGTGGCTGGGGCAGAGGGAGCAAGGACACAGGCAGGAGATGAGGTCAGAGAGGCCCTGGGGACCCAGATCAGACAGGGACCAAGTCTTCAAACATTTTTCTCCCACAACAACAAAGAATCTTTCAACATATCTCCAGAATGAACCAGAGGGCCTGGAGGGAAACATGAACTTAAGAGCTCACAGCTTGAGATTTTCCATTCAGTTTTCTTTCCTTATGTGCTGAGGAGGAGGAGGTAGCTTAGAAGCTTCCTTTTCTAGGTAAAGGGGGAAGCAGTGTGGATTCTTTAGTGTGTTCTGATAGCCATTGTCACTACACACTTCTTTTGAGTCTTTACATCTCCTCCTACTACATTTTAAAGCATTTTCATAGTAAGTAGTTTGGCCTAATAAAACATTTTTATAGCAAAAAAAAAAAAAAAAAAAGGAATGACATAAGGAAGGAATGACATAAGGAAAGAAAACTGAAAAATAGACTAAGTGGTTAAACTACATTTTGATGTTAAGATGTCATTGACATCTTTACCAAGTACACACTGAAACAATCAAACTTAAGTAATTGGGTACCAAAGGTTTCAATTAAATAATAAAGACTAGAAAGCATGCAGACCTTGATCTAAACCAGACACAACTAACTTCAAACAGAAATTATTTTTTTTTGGAGATGGAGTCTGGCTCTGTAGCCTAGGCTGGAGTGTAGTGGCTCGATCTTGGCTCACTGCAACCACTGCCTCCTGAGTAGCTGGGATTACAGGCACACACCACCATGCTGAGCTAATTTTGTATTTTTAGTAGAGACAGGGTTTCACCATGTTGGCAAGGCTGGTCTCGAACTCCTGACCTCGTGATCCACACGCCTTGACCTCCCAAAGTGTTGGGATTACAGGCATAAGCGACAGCACTGGCTAGAAACTATCTTTAAATTGTTTTTACGTTTTTTTTGACATGGGGTTTCACCATGTTGGTCAGACTGGTCTCAAACTCCTGATGTCAGGTAATCCACCCCCATCGGCTTCCCAAAGTGCTGGGATTACAGGTGTGAGCCACCGCACCTGGCCTAAATTGTTTTTTAAAATATCTAAGGACGGGCACGGTGGCTCGTGCCTATAATCACAGCACTTTGGGAAACCGAAGTGGGCAGATTGCGAGTTCAAGAGTTTGAGACCAGCCTTGCCAACATGGTGAAACCTAAAAATATAAAAATTAGCCAGGCATTGCCGGGCGCGGTGGCTCAAGCCTGTAATCCCAGCACTGTGGGAGGCCGAGGCGGGTGGATCACGAGGTCAAGAGATCGAGACCGGCCGGGCGCGGTGGCTCAAGCCTGTAATC